GCCATTGACTAAGGTTACATCCATTCATGCTAATACGACCTTCAATTAGTGAAGCAAACACATTTTGAGATCCAGCCATTTTATCAGACACTCACGGTAGGATGAAGAAACGCTGGTATCCTTGAAAAATTCTACTCTGAGGTGACCTTCTACTTTTCCAGGCTCATTAGGCAAAACAAAAATAATTGTGCCGTTTCTTTGTGGTCTCTCTTCAGAAGGTTTTCAGGATATCTCAAATTACAAATAATGATTTAACCCACAAATTCATGCTGATACATAGCAGCTTAGACAGTTAACACATTCATTCCGTGCAGTTCCCCAGAGACACTGGTTTACAGTGTTTTCTTTTACTTAGCAGCAGCTATTGGCATTTAAATAGAAACCACTACAAATCCAGTTAGTTCAAGATTTTTGAAAGAGTAAATACCATTGTGGCATCCTTAAATCAGCAAAGAAGAATGCAGTAGTGCCTCTTATTTTCATCCACATTTTCAAGGACTGGTAGTTTTCTCACTGAGGTGTCCAAACAGCAGCAAAGTTCTTCTGAAAGCCAGACTAACATCAATGCTTAAGTAGCTGAATTATGAAAATTTTTATTCATATTTAAAAATATAGCACCTTTGATATGCAAAGAAGTAGAAATACGTATTATGCTTCCATTTGTGAGGTCTAATATATTTAAAGAAGTTTGTGGCTGCTAAAAAAAAGTATTTACCCAAGCCAGAATGAAAAATAACAAGATGATCATTTTGAATTTTCTCTGATTTTTATATGAGCCTTTTCAGCCACATGCTGTATGCTACAAAGTAGTTAGATACGATGCTTATTTACAAACAGTTGTACTCCTGTTAGGTCACCTAAAGAGAATTGAATTAGAGAGAGATGCTTGAGCACCTAAGCTGAAAAAATATCTTCACGAGACCAAAAAGGACATTAAGCCACAGTACTTAAAGACAAGAAACTGGCTGAACAAAGGAGGGCTTTCCCAGGAAAGGTTGAAGAGTTGGGAGGGCTGCAGAGGGATGCCAATGTGTACAGCTGGTATGTGTTGGCACAGCTTGATGAAGTCAGCTGAGGTATAACAGCTGACATTAATTAAAGATTTGGTTGCACAAGGCTAATAGATAGAATGAGATAATGGACTGATACAATTGGATCATGATGGATTTCCAGTGCAGGAGAAAGAATCTGAAATAAGCTATATTACATACATTAATACTCTCCCATTTCATTTGTTAACACACTGCCTTTTTGTCTGCTAAACTAAAAAATAAAAAATAAAAATACAGTTTGTTAAACATCCCTTTAGTTTCCATGTATCCAAACATGTCCTAGTACCTCGTTTCTCTTGAAGGTTGTCTGCTTATCTGAAACTATTTCCATTACATTCCCCTGTAGCATTGTCATCATGCATGCATTCTCGCTTCTCCAGCACTCTCCCAAGTAGGGGAGCATGGAGTCATTTGTGGGCCTTCCAGCATACTGCTACAGCCCAGGAACACTCACAGCCAGTGAGATTCCAAGGACATAGAGATTTCTCTCATTAATCATAAAAAAAGCTCTCTCTAAATCAAACTTTAAGCTGGTAAAGGGCAGTTAGGCTCTTAAATCACCATGTGCTCTGAAGCTTTGAAGAGGTTTTCATAACTTCAGCAAGCAAATGTTTGCACTGCTTCCATAAAATCTCTTTCAGCCAGGGGATCAGGCTGGACATTAAAACCAGTCTCCACGACTGGCTCCTGCTGAAATTTAGCTCCCTAAATACTGCTGTGACCACAGGACTGGTGTTTTTCACATTTCTGAGTGGAAGTTCTTGACATTTACCGTTTTCCTTTCCCTAAACTACACGAATCGCACCAGCGGAGAGCAGGAGTCGGTGGGAGCGTTCTGTCTATCCTTCCCTCGCCCCGCTGCCGGAGCGCAGCCCGCCTCGCTGCTGCAGCACCAGCCCCACCTGCTGCCCCGCGCCGGCAGCTGCAGCCACAGCGCGGGCCAGGGGCAGGGCAGGCCGAAGGCGGCGAGCCGGCAGTGCGCTCCGCAGAGCTCCTGCTCCTTTTGTGGGTGAGCGGTATTTGCGGGACCTTTTCCTGGACGACAGTGCTAGAAACTCGTCTTTCTCTACATTAGTGGAAAGGAATAAAACCAGTAAAGGAAAAAGGCTCTGATATGAGTGTGGGTAAGTGCAGTCGTTAAGGTGAACGACGGAAGCTCTGCTGAGTTTCTCAGGGACATGGCAGGCATAGTGGACCAAGACAGCACACTCACAGGAATACAGCTGCATTTCCTAGAACACTGTTTTAAATTGCACCTTTGGAGCAAGGGAACATCTTTTTTTCCCAAGATCATCATCTGTTGAGCTGCCAACAAAACGTTTATTTGCAACCAATTAAAATACAAATATACACTGCTGACTTCACACCCACACATACTTTGCTCGCAACTTGCAGGAATGTGTGTCAGCTCTTCTTAAAAGGGATTTCCTTTCTTTCCCAGCTGCTTTGACAGAAGACCTTCTGATGTCCCACAGACCACAGCCTGAGAAACAGCCTGGCAGCGAGGCTATAGGGATACCTTGTTTACCAGTTATTTGATTCATTGGATTCAGGCTGATTCCTGGCTTCATGGCTTTTTGATTTAGCTTCTGTTTCTAGCATCTGTAGTGGATTCTTTTATGTACAATCACCTAAAACCATGTCTTGTACACAGGAACAAAAGCAGCGATTTGATAGTGCGGTGTTCATTTTGGCAATGTACTTTATCAAAGATGTATTTTGCCTGCAGCAAAATGAGCTGTCAGCTGTTACAGTGAGCTGTCACATATTCACATTTTAATATGAAAAATAATTATTCCTCCATTTCTATTAAATAGCTACCTATTCTTCAGGCTGGAAATCGGAACTGCTTTCACAGAGTATCCACAGCTCGCTACTGAAATGATTAAATGGGTCGAGTGTAACACTGCAAATATGATCAAGGCAAAAAGCCAGCCAATAAAACTGGCGGTTTTATCCTAATAAAAAGGGAGGCCTTTGCCATTTCTATGTGGCGGATAGTGAATTGTTCAGCTGTACACAACAACTTCAGGACATCTGGCCACTTAACCAATGAATCCGAGGTCCGAAATGCCAGATGACCCATAAGTGAAATAATGACTGGTCTGACTCATTTATAGTGAAGTCCCCGCACGCAATTCTGACATCAGTGGTCAAAACTAAATTAACGTGACTGCAAGTGCTGGTCTTACTACATCCCCAACACCTGCCTCAAGATACAGCTGGGAGCACCAAGAGTAGCAGTGGTCCCAGCTGGGACACAGACACAAAAGAGCCAAGATAGGGTGGCTGCCTACTGTTCTGCTCTGTAACAAAGTTGTGGCTTACCTGTATCCTAATTTAGGATGAAGAATGAGTAAACATACAGTGCAGTCATCACTTGGTACTGCCTCTATGTAAAACCACGATTCTTTGCTTCAGTCAACCCAAAAGTAGCTTCAGCCCAGGCTGAAACATCAACGAAGCTATACAACTAACCCAGCCATCTCCTCCCCCTGCAAGCCCTTCTGTGAGACCTCAGGTAATCACACACACACAGAAATCACCTTGCTTTATCAAACACACAAAACTAACTTTTGTTGCAATAGTTCAGGGCTTAAAAATAGACTTGATGTATGGATTTTCTGTTTTATAGGCAGAGCTAAGGTTCAATATATTGATTTGAGCTGTAAGGCTTACTTCATTCAGGGTGCAATCAAAGCATGTGGATTTCTACAACCTCAGGTGCACAGTTTTGACCAGACTGGAGGTGCAGAAGTTGTGAGACAAGCCTGCATGAGCATGTTAGTAGGCAATGCTGACCTGCATGCTTTCATTCCTACAACGATCCCATGTCTTGTGCTTTTAGTGAATTAATTTCCTCCAGGATAGCTCTAGAGAGCAGTTAAGAGATACCTTCTAATGAGGTAACTGTCCTCACTGCCATTTTATCAAGACTTAACATCACTCCTTCCTATGTAGTGAGCTTAACGCAGGTATCTTCGCTATCTCACAAGAATGGCAGCAATGGACTTGGAAGGCCAAGGAGCTTTGGTGATTCTCCTCCCCTGCCTGTACTGTCAGGGTCAATTACAAGGAGGCTAGGCTATTGCATACACAATTTACTGGAGAAGTGATAGGAAGTTGTTACCAGCTTATCTGTTTCATTACAGTAGTAAGTTGTCAGCAGCCCGCAGGCACCCTCAGACTACAGAGGGCTTCCTAAATGCAGGAATGGAGCATTAACCCATCACACACAGATGGAAAATAAGATAAGGACATAACAAATCAGGGCTAAAAATGGATAAGACACCAAATATCCCTCTTTTCAAGGTGAATTTCTCCTTCTACGGAAATGGACAACCGTCCATCATCTACCATTTTGCTTATGCTTGTTCAGTTGCAGAAAAATCTATCTAAAGAAGTGAAACACCACCTCCAATAAATGAGATAGCTGTTAAGTGAGAACACTAGATTCACAGAGGCTTCATGGCAAATGCCTTAGGACTGATCTGTTCAACCTGGAATGGAAAACAAATTTTTTTTTTCCTTCCCACAGGGCATAAGTCTTCCCTGTCTCTCTGTTGTGCTGGTGAAAGCAAATTTCACCAGAAACTGAATCCATTTACAAATATTTTGATAGATTGAGACAGCTGCTCAGGAAAAAAGAAAGATTAAACACATGCAGTTAAGATATAGTGTCACACAAACAGCTGTTGCAGAGACCCACAGCCTATGTGGAATTCATTTTATTTATGCCTTTTAAAGATTATGTGGGTTTTCCTGTAAAATAAAACAAAGTGAACACTATTTTTGTTGGTAATAAATTAAAGAAAAATCTCAGATAATTAATCCCCCAAAATGCACAGTCTTGACTTTTTTTTAACTTGTTTTGGCAGGAAGACAGACATGCAGAATGTACTAGCACTGCTCTTGTATATACTCACATCTCATTCTGTAGATCTGGTTGGCAAATCCTTCTGAGGCTCTCAGTTTCTGACTGGAACAGGTCATTATGTGTGCACCTCAATCCATCACTTCCAAAGCATCCTGTGAAGAAATTGCCATTAGAAGCCAGTGTAGCGAAACCAACTATCTTCTATCTAAAAGCATGACTTGCATTTTTGTACCACATCTCATTTTTTTTATTTGTAACATTACCTATCTATCTGTATAGTTGCTTTCTGTAGCAGCAGAGATTGTGCTGTATCTATTTTTACTGCACCAATTACTGCTATTTTAAGACTGTATAGAAATGTCTACAAATAAAGAATAGCTGAAAGTTCCTGGTGCTTTCCCTTGCAACTGTCATTAGAACCTCACAATTATAAAAGCCCATACCTATAGCAGTTATAATTGATTATGTTTCAAATTCTGGACACCTGAACAGTGCAGTACTCATAATGTTTCAAATACCAGAATCAGTCTACAAACAAAGGGCAACAGATTTCGGATGCAGCTGAAGTTGCACTGAGTTTTCAGTTGTGCTGAGTGACACTAACGGACAAATGGCTTCTCCATAAATGCCACCATTTACTATACCTCTCCTGTCCAGGCTCCATAGTGAGTAATCACTATCAGCACAAAACTGTGATGCTTTACTGCATATATACATTACATTTTCTTACCTTTACAGAACTTGAGGTACATATTTTGACACACAAATGCACATGATTCATCACTCAAAAAAAAAAAAAGTAAGTAAAGGAAAATAACTCTATTGTATGTATGTATCACTGAGAGTTCAATCTTCTTTTCATGTGATAAGGCCACAGCACACAGGGAAAAACAAGCTAGTTCAACAGGATCACAACTTAAACAGAAAATGCAGGGTGCTCAGATTACAAGAGTGAAGTAGCTGTGCATGGCCAGAGCTGCATTTCATGTGAGCAGCTCTGTGGGACACAACGGGTGAACAGGAAGGCTCCCTCAGAGCCCTTCACCTGTTGACATCTGCCTGGTGGCAGCTGGAAACGGGGCAGGACAAAGTAGGGTCCTGCAGTGCTGAACAGGCTGCTCGTCTTCAGACAGTCAGTACTACAGGATGTCTTTGCTGTTTTGAATGTAAGACGCCATGCAGCACCCAGCATGAGTGCATGAAGAATTTAGTGGCGAAGAATTTAGCCTAGCTTGAAGGCAAATCTCACAAGAGTAACAGAGCAAGAGTTTTTAAAAAGTAAGTTTTTTGCCCCCTGACAAAAATCTGATAATAAAAATAACCTATAAATGCCCTATTCAAATGTATAAGGAGTCTCTTAATGTCTGTTGTTCTCCAAGAGCTTTTCTTGTCAAATTCTACTTCGCAGCTAATGAAAAAAAATATCTCCAATGTTTCGTAATGACAGGACATAGCTAGTTTAATGCTGCTGAGGATTAAGGAGGCCTTGAACACAGCAACGTTTGTTGTTTGCCACATCAGAAAACAAATGCCAAACCACTTCATTCAGGGTCTTCTATTCATCAATCTCTTTAAAAAAAAAAAAAAAAAAAAAAAAAGGAGCAAAACATCAGGACTAGAAATAACACAGTGTGGAACAACATTCTCAGCACTAGCGCCAGCTCACTGGGGAGCTGCTGCTTGTGAAGCAGTGTTACCATCATGCACAGCTCAGGGACTATTTAGCCCATGTTTTCTTCTACTTTGAAAGTTAAGTGGAGAGTGGAGAGCAGCTAAGGTCATCTTTAAGAAATCTGTTCGTAGGGTTGGTCATTGACAGCTAGATTATCTCTTTGTATTATTTTTCTTTTGAAATTTTCTCATTTGATAACATAATGCACTTTGCATTTGCTGAGGTCAGTGGGAGTCTGAGCTCTGATTAAAAAGCTTTTTTTGCTTGGAGTCAAAAGACAAAAAGCACCTACAGTTTCACACGGGACTGTAGGAAAACATATCACAGCATGGACAAGAAAGAGGACAATTCCTAATTTTGTAGGCAGGACACTGCCACAGCATCAGCACTTACAGGGCTCTGGTGCATGGTGGGGATCAGACACGCTGAGAGCAGCTAGCCTGTGAGTTGCAAGCCACAGTTCACCATCCAGTCTCTTAAAGGGAAAATACTGTGACTTCCAGCCCTACTGAAACAGTTGCAAAATTATTTTTTAATAAAGACATTTTTTCTGAGCTGTAGAAATCATTTTGTATCACTTTCTTTAGAAATATTGTGTCTTTTACCACAGAAAATTCTAGAAAACTTTACATGAACTGACCGTTCATGACTACAGTTTTTTTGTTTCATTTTCCATCAATGTCTTTTCAGCTTTGTTGTGACAAATAGACAACTTGTGAAAGATCAATCAAATATACCCATATTGTTGTTATTTTGTCAGAATATACCTACAAAGACACAAATTACTTTTTCTGGAAAAAGAACATATTTGAGGGGCAGATCACAAGACAGAACCGCAATTGGAACAGTGATATTTTTATGAAATCCAAAGAAGCAAGGTGTGCTGTTGATTCTCATAAGTCTCACTGACTTCATTTGCAGAGCCCCCTCAACTCATGGGTCTCTTTATCCCCTTTGGAACCCTCCTTTGGAGTTTGGGCACAGCTGTTCCAGAACAAATGACTCCAAGCACCCTGAGACAACTAAGTGGTGGCAAACTTCCAAACACATACAGGATTTTTTAGAAGCACACAAATGGAGCCACTTTCCATTGCCCTAAACATAGCATAGCATTTCACATAAGGGCAAAGCAGACTGAAAACGAAATCAGGATTAGAACAATGATGTGTTAATGTTGTTATGTTCTTTGTATCAGTCTAAATGCTTTTAAGAGAAAAGCCTTCCCATAAACAAATACATTTTTTTCCAATCTATTGAATTGCGTGAGAAAAGAGAAAAATGGATGGCAAAAAATGGATTTGAAAAACATTATGACATTCCAGATATAAGCCATCTAATGAATATTTGAGAATCTCTACCTTTTACTAGAGACCCATGTTGTCAGCAAGCCTGAATAGTTGTCCTTAACCTTCTCCTTATCTGAAGAAACAAGCAAAGCGACCTCATTGAAAATTTCTTTCCATGCACTATTTTCATCTGCATCCTCCTAAACTCATCTCTCTCAACTGCAAAGAAACAAAGAAACTGAAGAGTTGCTTTAATGAGTGGGTGAAAAACAAAATGCAACCATTTTATCTATACAACGCACTAACAGCAATCACATGATAAAGACCTTTGTTTCTGTGAACACACAGAATTGCGTGGTGACAGAAGCCGTGTATTGCCAAAGCTGTGATGGCACTGACAGCCTTGTGAGGGGCACAAAAGCAGGAATGCTTTTCCTATGAGAGACCTTGACGGTACTGCTCAGGAGCCTACAGCTTTGAGTACCATGAGAAACAGCTTGCTGCTTTTCTGTGCAGCAAAAATATTCATGGCTACCAGCTGCTGCTTCAGCACTTGCCAAAGATATCAGCCTCACTTTTTAGGCAAGATGCTGGAAGTGCCACAGTAAACTGTTCAATTGACTTTCCGAGCTGATTTTGGCTGAATACATAAAAAACGTAACTATGTTTAAACAAGTCAGTTTTGATGCAGAATCATTGGCCTGGCTACATATCTGTTATTTCTCCTGTGTTTAGCACAACAGAGAAGGTTACACTTTAGGTAGTTCACTGTCTAAAACCCTTATGTGGCTTGATAATAGGATTGAGCTGAACTTTAATTGTTCAAGATATACTCATCCACTCATAGTAAACATTAAAGCTGATTTGAAGTAAATATTTGTAACGCTGAGAAAGCAAGTGTGGATAATTTCTCTTCAGCAATGGTGTTTTATTTGTGAATGGGAGTGAGCCATCTCCCCTGTGGACAGGCTGGGCCCTGCTCCTGCCTGGCTCCACGTGTGGTACTGCAAAGAACCCTTCCACTTTCCTGAACCATTCACATCACTGATGTAGTCCCCAAGGGGCTCTGGTACCACTGAATACAGATCCACACAGTTGTTGTGGTCTTTGATTTACGTACCTCCATATGTAAGTGCTTGGTTCAAAGAAGAATTTAGGAAGCCAAATAACAGATGACAAAATCAATGAGGAAGCTACACCAACATGCTGGTGTCTTCATATCTAACTACCTGAAACACAGATCTTAACTTTTTTTACTAGTTATTCTATCTTGCACGTTCATGCTGAGAAAAAATTACACTCACCGGCATCTGTGTTTAAAAGCAACTCTGCACATACAACTGTGACTCCAGAAGGGAAGCAGCAAGCACTTCTGATGTGGTAGAGAGAAATGGGCCCTCATGGTCCATTTCCATCTGCAGTTCTATTTGAGGTTCAGAATCCTTTGTCCTGCAGATAACCAAGAAAAGAGCAGCAAATGAGAAAGAAATTACATGTCACAACAAACAGGAAGATTCTGTCCTCAAAGTTCAGATTAGAATCCAACTTTGCGCAAAGTTAAGCGACATTCAGCTCTGGAGTATTCTTCAAGGACAAATCCAGGAAAGAGAGAATAAAAGATTTCATTCTGTGTGTCCACTGCATGAAAAATCTCTTCAACACACAATGTGAAAAGCTTTATATTTTAGAAATCTATCGACCAGGCCTAGTGAGCATTGAAGTTAACAGAAAGCCTCCCACAGGTTTTACTGGGCTTTGGTTTAAGTGATGTGTTTTAATTCTTTTTTTTTTTTTTTTCATATGATAGTAAATTACAGAAGTTCTCCTTGCTCTGTTCCCTTCTACACTGCAGGCATCATACACAGAAGCATTTCTCCATCTTCTTCAATGTTTGTGTTTAATGATGGCTCCATTAAACCCTCCTGGATGTTATTGCTCAGAAGGATTTATTGAATCATAGAATCACCAAGGATCATGGAAAAGATCGATCTTTAGCCCTGGTAGCATTTTAAAATACCATTTATGTAAAGGATTTATGCCAAATTGGTCTTATGTTTTGTGTGAGAAAGTAGGAGTAATAACAATAATAACCAGAGAGCAAAACTTATTTAAACACTAAGGCAGGCAGGTAATGCTACTCATAGTCAAGAGAAGTGAAAATATAATACTGAATCATCATCATCTCTCATATTATCATTTTCACAGTTAAAATTCAGAAACAAAAAAGCCATTTTTTTTTCTGACTTTATCACAACAGAAATTATAAACGCAAAGTGTGATATTTAATGTTTTTTATTCAAGTTTTAGTGAATATCAGAACCAATAAATATCGGCAGTGTGCAACAATCCAGCCCCAACCTTTTCAAACTTCTTTGTAATACCCTAGGGGCTAGGACTCTTAAATGTATGTAATCAAACACTTTAAAGGCCAAAACCCAAAGCTTTGGTGATTAAATACCCCCGTTATCCCTGGGAGAAGCATTCAACATATGCTTCCTCCATGGCATTATAGATTAATTTTATTTCATCACATCCGTAGCATGTTTTATTACTTCTAAGCAGCATTCCCTAATGTATACAATTATCAGACAGAGTCTCTGAAAATGAGAACTGATATTTGGTGGGAAGAGATGTCAGAAAGACCATTTACTGTTTTAAAATGCAGTAGATGGATGACCAGTGAACTTATCCATTCCAAAGCAATTTTCTTGCTTTACTACTGAAAGGTTTCATCCCCTTGGATAAGATGTTCACTGAAAGAAATGGAGGCAGTCCTTTATGATGATGCATTAGAAGAACTTTTTTTTTTTTTCTTTAAATATTTGGGCATTAGCAGTTTTCTAAATCAGAGAAAATCAAAGCTCTTCTCTCTGTCATGGTTTCTGGGAGGAGGCAGAGGCAATTCATTTGTTTTCTTGCTGTCAAAAACTTTAGTATGATTAAAACATAAAAACAAGCTTAGAGTAGTCCTAGAAAGCATGTCCACTCTCATTAGCATTAGAAACATTGTTCAGATTAAACATCTTTAAGAGTCCTTATGCAGCTCTTTCCAATCAGGCTTTCAGTGGTCTTTTGTCAGCATCATGGGACATGCTACTATTTCTATTCCATGCTCTGACCATTTTCAAAACCCTCCTGCCAAATCTCTGTTGCTTTAAATTCATCCCTATCCAACTGCTCAACCAAATGCTGTCTACTCTCTCCTGCTCCATCTCATCTGCCACTGTATCCACACTTCTTCCTCCTGCTTAGGGCTGTTGCCACAGCTGTTCATGCAGCCAAAGAGAAGCATCACTGAATTTTGCAAAAGAATGTGCAGCCCCTTGGTTTGTGAAGAGACCCTCCACATCATTTCTTTTCCACCACCTTCACTCTAGGCTTTTTAAATGGGAGGGGGGATCTGGGCAAGCATGCAGGCAGAAGCTTGAGCAAAGAAGCCCTTTCATGTAAATAAAACTTCTAGATGCTTGTTTATAAACTATATAAGCTAGTATAACTATATAAAGCAACTATAAATTGCTTTATGGTAAAGCAATTGTTGGATAGAATTTAGTGAAATTTTGAACAATGTTTTAGAAAACAGAAGCTAATTAACCCTGTGCCATGTGTAGTTGCAGTCTCAATATTAATGCTTTATTCACACACCATGGCAGCAGAAAGTAGTACATATATATATATATTTTTAAAAATTATCATATCAGGTGTTCTCATAAATCTGGATTATTAGGCTACCTAGTTAGCAGCACGGTTTATATCCCTTTAAAGTCTGAGCATCTGCTAGGTGCTTGTGGATTTATTCACAGGCTACCACAATGAGGCAGTAGTAAGTTGCGGTAAATGCACTATTTACAGCACAACTGATGCTGAAGTGCTAATTAGTGCTAATTTGACTTGGCCCATTTTGGACCTCTGGCAATAACAGCTCTTCGAAAGCAAGCAGATCTGGCATACCTAAGGAAAAATTCTCTCTATTTCTCTATCTGTTATGATATTTTTAATGCAAGATGCAAAGAAATTTAAAATGCCTGTTTTCCTAAAGTGTTAGCCAAGGACAGTTGCTACTGCAGATTTACTTCTAAAAGAAAACATTAAATGCATTTGTCTTAATTAGGATTATTAGAAGTGATTACAGTAAATGAAAGCAGAAGTAATTTAAAAGAATATGGAACAAAATCAAGAATTACATAAGGCTGCTACTTTGCTCTCAGTGACACCAAAATACTGCTAAATTCTTTTCACTGATATATTTGAAGTGAAGCAAACTTTTGAAGTTTTGATTTTAAATGTGCAGGTGTGAAGATTCAGGTACAGCAAACATGGTTGTTCACAAGCACCTGAGAGCAACAGAAAGGCAATGCACTTTAGAAAACTTTCACAGAACGCCCTCATATTGTCTACTTGTAATATTTCTAATCGTATACTGGCGTTAGAAGTCTTCTTGTGCAAAGTAACATTGCAGTACTTCTGAAAGTCCCCATTTAGCACCAAAAGAAAAAGGGTGATTTTAATTTGCAAAGCTCCCGTTGTGACTGTTAGTAGCACCGGGGCACTGCAACCCTCTCAGCAGCAGGGGGCTCTTGGAAGTGAGAAATTTGTTCACTGACTTCCCAGGAAAAACATTCTAAAGGTGCTCTCTGCAAAAGATTGTTAAGGGTGTTTGTCCCCGCACTGCAACCAAGGCACCTTCAGATCAGAGCTGGACAACATGCACTGGATCAGTTTCTGATTATCAAAAAAAATCATTTGCTTTGCACTACTTCAATGAGCAGAGCCATTCTGCATGCATCAGAGCTCATACATTTGTGTTTTAACCTGATAATTCAGAGAACTACTACTTTTAACAAGGGCTAAAGTTTTGCTTCAAGAACCTACATTTGCAACATAAAACAAGTTTACTGTGGAGATATCTGTGCCAAGAAAGATAAGTCTTAATGCCCTTTCTGCTTTTCCCCACCAGAGCTATTCTTTAGCAGGTAACATCTATTTCCAGCATTGCTGACACAAAACAGCACAGCTACTGAATAAGTGTGCAAACCACATATGCTGGCAAAGCTGAATGCAGCGTAGTTAGACAACTAGTTGTCAAAGATGATCAAGAATTATGGGCAGCTTAATTCAGACAAATCAAATACTGCTTTAAAAACGTCTCAACTGAAAACAGAAGTTTAGAACAGGCAGACATCATTCACAAAGAAAAAGAATTGGACATGGGGGATATTTTGTTAAAGGAATTTTAAAAGAGGCAATAAACTTAGTTAGGCATGAGAATGTTATTTTTCAAGTAGAAGCAGAGCAGAAACTCAGGCCCATCATGTGCAGCAATCCAGTTACATCTGTGACCAGAAGTTTTCATTAATTTTTGTTGCTGCTGTTTTTTGTATGTTTGTTGTTTTTTGTTATTCAAACTATGATCATAGTTTTAATGCATTTAGGGTAAAATTTAATACTCTGTTATTTATACTCTGTTATGTAATACTCTGTTATGCATGAACTGTTAAATCCTAGTTTGTTGAGGTGTTACATGCTACATCTCTTAGAGGATGAATTCCACTATGGTCAAGTATCACCCTTTGTTCACACAGTTCATATTGATTAGCCCTGAAAACTGGGTACTTTTAATACAGAAGAAAAAACATTTCTAGATGTAAAACCCTGTCAGTTTCAGATAGGAATTATTTACTTTTTTTTAAAGTCTCTGAATTCCTATTAAGTGCAGGTGGTTTTTTTTTTTTGTTGTTGCTGTTATTTCTGCAGAAGATTAAATATGCATAAGGATGTGTTTCACTCCTGTTGCAACTGTAAACCTGTGGCAGAAATTGTTTTCCATTGACATGTTCGAAGAGAATTTTGCTTCAGTAAGTATTAAAGAATTGGTTCTTAATAGGTCCACAACAGAATTAACTGAATAAAGATTTCTGATGCAAAACATACTCTCAAAATTTCCAGTAACAGGCTCATGCACTACCAAGGTTCCACTCGAAACAAAAGAGTTACTCTGTGCATTCCAGCAGCAAGGCAGCAGCAGCACAAGCTGGGGGCTAAGCATATTTACTTACACTGGGGAAAAAAAGATCTTAACAGAATAAAAATATTGTTAAATAATTTTAAGCTAAACATCTTGTGCTTGGATTTTTAAAGAGCTAAGAGTGTGTCAGATGGGGGATAATCCATCGTGATACAATTAAAGTGCAGCTTGAGGATGACCTGCCTCCACATCTCACCCACTAGAGCAACTTTTATTTTAAGCTGTCCCCTCTGTTTGCTTCTCAAATGCTTTTGAAGGAGGAAAGCCAAAAGTTCTTGACAGTGCTATTAAGGCAAGTAACGTGTGCTTTCTGCTCTCTTTCCCTCATACCAGTAGCCTGTCTCATCTCTGAAATATACTTTCACACAGAGACAAGCAGTTTTGGTGCTCTCTTCTCATGGAAGTACCTGCAACTGCACCCCCACAAATACAGCTATTTGATCTCCACAAAATGATGCACCAGGTCTGTCCACATTGTGAGGCTAACTGAAACAACACTGCTGTGTTAGCATAATCCTAAACCAGTTCTCCCATAACCAGTTGGGTGAGCATGCTATTAAGTATGTGGCAAGCTGACTGTGGCTACGTGGTTGTTGAAAGCTCAAACAAATCTTAGGCAGGTTTTACACAAAGCTAAATAGTTAGTCCATAGCTTTGGTAATTATAGAACATCCTAAGCTGAAAGAGACCCACAAGGATCATCAAATGCATAGGCCTAATTTACTAATACACATGAGAATATCTTAGTATGGTCATTATCTACAATATGAGATTACTTACTCAACAAGAAAAGACTAGTAGATTTTAACAAGAAGTTGGAATGTTCTTCCAAAGCAAAGAAGAGCTTGCACCATGGGTGCAGACAACACTGGTACCAGGTAGAAGGCTGTAGTTAAACTCCTGAGTTTTGATCCATTTCTCTGCTCTGACTCTCATTTCCTGTGTCTTTTTGGGGTGATGTCTCATACACTGTCCACTTCCTTCCTTCTTTCCTAGTTTGCTTACTCATATTAGTAGATCCACAAATCAGAAATGTTTTCTCTAACACCATTGTAGTCTCTTTTATCTAGAACCTGAAGATCACCTCAGATACACAGTGATATGGAGGAGCAGAGACTGTAATGGAAGTTGCTGACTGAACAAATAACAAAATGTCAAAAGTTGTAAACACAGTCTGTTAATGAAGAAAACTCCTCCCAAACAGTCATGTACACAGGAATGTATAAAATATCTTTCACGCCATTAGAAAAGTTCTCATTCAGATAACTTTGATGGAGGGGAGTGGGGAAGAAGATCTCCAGAAGCCCCTTACAATCTTAACTATACTGTGATTCTGTAACTGTCACAGTATCATACATACTTGTTAAGCTTAAATGGATCATTTCCCAGTCAGATCAGAGAATTTTCTTTTAGCTCCATGTGTAATTCTTTAAATAATTACACATGCAATAAATTAGTGAAAAATCAAAGAAACTGCCTGCACTTAGACTACCAGCTTAATTTGGCATGCTCTGCTGCACGCTTCTAAATGCTCAAAGTCTTTTCAGGCCCTGCTTAAACCAACAGCCTCCTCACTGTGCAAATAGTCTTTATAAAAAAAATAGCAAATTAAATTTGGCACTTAGTGAGGTGTGAAATTCTTAAGCTGTTTTTTTTTTTTTTTTTAAAAAAAAAAAAGAGAGAGAGAGAGAGAGAGAGAGAGTGGGGTCTGCCTCTGTCTTGCCTCCAGGAACATGTTTCTGTCTGGAAAGTGAAACTCACTAACAATCGTCAAGTTAGGTGGGAAACAAATGCTGTTATAAATTCCCCCTGCTCTCTGTAGAAGCCACAGTAAGTTTTTTAAAATGTTATTTTAAAATCCTCTCATTATGCGGCGTGCAGTGATTAAGCTGAGCTGTTTCTGCTTGTCGTCTTCCTTGAGCAGAGTCAGTTTTCTTGGGTGCTTCAGCTGACTTTCTCTTTTTATGGATAAACAGAAGGAAAGGGGTGGAAGTCTCATTCATAACATGGTAGCACAGTGTAACTTGGAAATATAAATGTGCAGAACTTGTTTTGTTCTGCTTAAAATAAAAAAAAAGGTGCAGTATAGAAACTGAAAAGATTAAAGCTTATTTGTCATCAAATCTAACAAAAATATTTAATATCGTGAACATTTAAACAACTTCATACATGAAGCAGGACCATTTTCAGGGCAGAAGTTTGTAGAGTGTTCTGAACTGCAATGATTAACATTTCAAATCTGTGTGAATCTCCCCAGAGCTAACAGAATCAGCTCTCTGTCTGTACAATGTTTTCTACTTACAGGAGATAAGGATCTGAGGACCAGACGTTGGTTGGCATGGCAATTTCTGAAGGAGCTTAACAGTGCAGTATCACTTAAATAATGAAGCACCCATCTGGAAGAAGATTGCTCAGGTTGGCTAAGTTTGTGCAAGGTCAGTTCAGCCTGAAAATTAAGGCAGAAGTTTACAGGGCAAGGAGCAGAACCAACTAATATATCTTGGGGACTGTTTTGCATGTACGAAGTCTTTCTTTTAAAATAATTTTCTATTTTGTAAATATAGAAGGGAGCACAGTTATTCCTGTCCTCAGACATGTTTTCTGAAACATTTCATTATTTAATGCACATCTATTCTAAAATACATATTTTTAAGAAAGGTAAGCACACTACAGTACAGTGCAAAGTAAAATGTATACGTATCTTTTTGCAGATCTGCTTTGCTACTGTGCTTTGCAGATTGTTGGCTAGTCTTAACAAAGAGAGAACAATCCCACAAAGCTAGAAAAATTAGTTAAGAATTAAGTTCAGAAAATATGTTTAGTGCTTTCAGTAATTTTCACAGAATGACAATAGCTGTTCAGTACAAACTCTGGTGTACATTAATCGTAATGTATATCATATATATTATGTAGCATAATGCATACCTTTATCATCTCGCTTTTCAGAAAATATGACAACCTTGATGGGAAGAAATTCAAGCTGAAATCTTATAATAAAAATAAAAGACATTTTTACAAACTCAGGCTAACACAGAAATGAGACAAACATACTGAACGACCGTTTTTATCTCAATATTCTATGTACTTAAATGACATTGGTGGTCTACACTTTGAAAAAGGAACAATAACTTTTCTCGTTCTAATAATTATACAGAATTGCCTTTCTTCTGCAGCTATCCACATCCCAGCTCAGAGCTTTAACTGCAGTAGTCTTTGCCTCTGAGTCTTTGGTGTTTAAAAAAGGCATTCAGACTCTCAAACACTTTTTGCAATTTAGCTTATTCTCTATTGTTTGAACATTTCCACTTCAACACCATTTTGTGCTGCTTTAGTGTTTTTTTTCCTACTCCTTTTGGCTATCATTGATTTTCCATTAATACTTCTCACAGAACATGAACCAGCTGTTATGTTTCACAAAGTGATTCAGAAAGGAGTGCTCACCCTCAGATGGATGCACATACAAACACTGAACTATCAGCAGGAGTACCACTCTCTCTCCCCCATTCTTTTCTCCTTCTAGTTTGTTCCTTTTTGAAGGGATACTGTTAAGTAGCTACCCGAGGGAAGGGGTCAGAAAACACCATCACAAGTTGGCTGTACTTAGATTCCCCCTCTGATGGTCCTCCATTGCCATACCAGCAGATATCAGAGCTTCATTGCTTAGCTCTTCTGAATGGTGCTGGCTCTTTGCACAGAGTGGCCTAGTGCCTTAGTCACCACAAATCATGCTGTCTAGCCTTGCTGTTCCTTGGCATCCATTCCCTAGGGCTTTTTCCTGGAGTGATTGAATATTCAGAGGAAAATCCTAACAGATACACAAGTGTACAGAGTAACTGGTACAGCGTACAGGTAAGTGTACACTGTAGAGGTATACTGTCATGGTTTTCTATATGTATTCCATATCATGACATCATGCACGGAACTGACGGAACTGAGACAGCTGCTAAGGGAGAACCATAGGAAAACTGCAGGAACGATAGTCCCCAGAATGCTGCAGTCTTTCTTAAGTGGTTTCCAGGAGTCACAGAATGGCCTGGGTGGAAAAGGACCATAGTGCTCATGTAGTTTCAACCCTCTTGCTATGTGCAGGGTCGCCAACCACTGGACCAGGCTGCCCAGAGCCACATCCAGCCTGGCCTTGAATGCCTCCAGGGATGGGGCGTCCACAACCTCCTTGGGCAACCTGTTCCAGTGCGTCACCACCCTCTGTGTGAAAAACTTCCTCCTAATATCTAACCTAAACATCTCCTGTCTCAGTTTAAAGCTATTCCCCCTTGTCCTGTCCACCCTCATAAACAGCTGTTCCCCCTCCTGTTTATACGCTCCCTTCAAGCACTGGAAGGACACAATGAGGTCTCCTTGGAGACTTCTCCTAGCTAAACAAGCCCAGTTCCCTCAACCTTTCCTCATAGGAGAGGTGCTCCAGCCCTCTGAAGGAGGGAGAGACAAAGTGAGTTAATGACAGAAGGATGCCCCTTTTTGGCTCCACCCACCAAGCCTTGCAGTACAAGTACACAGCAAATTAGGAGATATTTCCTTTCCCATTTCTTTGGTTTATTAATCTTGATTTCTTTTGTATTGTATTATATCACAATATTTTACCTTTTCTAGTAAATTATTTTATCTCAGTCAAGCTCGTCCTTCTCACTTCTCTGCCAGCTTCCCATGAGGGGAGGGCCAATCCTCCCATCACATGACAAAAGACTCTCAATCTACTACATACATACACATAAGTCTACACAGAAATCAGAAACAGGATAAATATTCGCCTTTCTTGGCTTCTCCTATTATTCTCATATTACTATCATATGAGAATAGTCAGCTTGTTTTAAGTCCAATATACTGAAATATGAAGATAACATCTGAATGTTTCATTAATGCTAAAGGTCTTTTTGATGAGCTACCTGGACACTTTTAAAAATATTCTTCATTTTAAGAGCTAGTAATTTTTTTTTTTAAAGATGAAAGCATATCTGATATGATAGTACAACTCCCCTACAGAGACGAGTAACACCCCACAACTCAAACATCATTTTCTGAATCACAATCTGGAAGTGTCTCATCACTGTGTGCTTGGTTGTTTATCTCAGAGTACGCACAGAGAACTATTCAAGGTGCTTTTTTTCCTGTGGGGCTCAAGAGCATCCTAATGTGGCTTACCACCAAATAGATGTTACTTATTCAACATGTTACCATGGAGAGGAGCCACTTCATGCTTTGCTCACGTTGCACTCCTTCTCTTGTTTTTCTACCTTGAAAGCAAGGACATTGTACTCTTCTATACGTGGAAATCATGAAGCACATTCACTTCAGCATCACTTCTGCTGCACTGTTCAGAGCAGCAAGCATCTACTGTCAGATCAGTTTGTACTGACATTTGTGTTCCTTCTTGCCTCTAACTTGGTCAGTCACTGAATAAAACCGTTATTCTGCTTTCTCAACAAACAACCTCTATCAGCAAGTTTATTGACTTATGTCTCTCCTCATAGCAAAGCAATAAATAACAGCTAGAAAATCACAGGAACAGGATGGTGCCCCTTTTGAAAAGAGGTGACACAATACATAGATTCAGGCATTCGCACAAAGGTCCACCAGCAATCCCACTCCTGAGCACTGGAAGCTCTGTGATGGCTTTGCAGCCCTGGGGTCTCCCCTCTTCCCAGAGGCAGCTGGGGACTAGAAACCTTAGGAGAGAGAAGATCACTTCAATGGGCATGGAAGCTGAGCTCCTAGCCTATCTACCTCAACTGCACTGTGGAAATAAGTTATTTCAGAGAGGGGTTCTGGGGATCTGAGAGCTTCAGGCGCTTACAAGTGGCCTTCAGTTCTCATTCAGACTCCAGGTGGCTGCCCTCACCTCACCTCATCCTGCCATACACTTTTGCTAATAGACATTGAGGTTCCCTGAGATGTATGTCTTAATACTCCAATTGAGCTGCCCAGGGCAGCTCACTACCCTAATTCTATTTCAAGCTACCATCAGTCTGCATCCCAGCAGGTAAATATTCAGGACTTTTATTCTAGCTGCTAGAATTCAAACTAATAATGGAAAGAGCCCAAAAGTACAAGAATCCATAGGCCCCAGGATCAATCATATAATGTCAATTTCCTAACACAGTTCCATCCCCACAGAACTGTAGGAATGACCATATTTTCTCAGTTTATCTTGCTTGAAAGATTAACTTCATTGTAGAGATGAATACCCTGTAAACGTAATTAGTTTGCAGACCTTGCACAGGCTTCTCCATAGAACAACCAGTGACCTGAAACTGAAAATTGAGGGGTTTTACATGTTCCTTACCTTCTAAGACTTCAAGAACACTACTTGGGCTGCCTTGTCCTTACCGTCCACATGAAAATCCCTAGGACAAGAACTCAGATCTGCTGTTACATGCTGGCAGCCACAGAGCAGACAAACTCCTCTTGTCTGCAGTGACACCAGAAAACTGCAGTAATGCCACGTGGATCCAGAAGTCATCTTAGCTTCCAGCAGACACCAAAGACATGGACCTCTTCTTGACACCTTTATCTTCTGTGCTTTGCCAGGCATCTCACTGCTCATTTGTTCTGCTGAGGACTGGGAAGTTAGTGCAAGAAGAGTGCACTCTTGCAGTGGACTCTTAGTGGAGAGAGTGCAGAGTGAGCAGAGGGTGGATACTAGGGTGGTAAGGGGACAAAGACCTGTCTCAATGGGAAAGCATGCTGAACAGCTGCTGTTACCACAGAGATGCTGCCCAGTTCTGTTGTTCCATCTACTTCCTGAAAAAGAAAAGCTGGTTGTTGATGTTTCCAAAAGTTCTGCTTAGGGAAGAGCTAATACAGCAAAATACAGCATGTGCAGAGCAAATAGCTGTGGCAGTGGAGACAAGGGAGGTAACAATCACATTTTTTTTCCCTTTTTCTTTTTCCCTCCTCTGAAGCATATCTAACAGTAAGGGAGAAAAGCAAATTCTAACTGTACGAGTGAAATAAGCCCATCTGGTCTGGTGTCAGGTGTGATAGCCTGCTCTAGCCAAGGATCTCTCGTGTATTGTCTACGTATTTAATCACTGTTAACCTAGGACGTGAGAAGCAAAGAGAGCCAGATTGAGTACCCTGCAGTTGCAGCCAATGCAAGAGTCAGGAACAGCACCTAAACATCCTGAAAGCCACGCAGAGTATTTCCCTATTGCAAGAAGCCTCTGATTTTGTCAAACTTGTCCACACTTGAACAATCACCTTTGGCAATCTCAAAAAATAATTTTAAAATGCTCTCTTCAATATCATCATTGAATTCAAACTGTAATATTTCCTTTAAAAATTCAGTCTTTCTCCTTTCTACCTCTAATTTTCTGGACTGCATCCATACTATGGAGCAGAATTGTGCTTCATGCAATCACCCAGAGAT